AAATTCAAACATTCGTAGTTAAGGGATAAAAAAAAAGAAAAGTTCAAAATGGAATATGTGCTAGAAAAAAAAGAATATATACATACATGTATATACATTCAAAGTAAAGAAGGAGAAGGGTGGTGGGGGCACGGAGGTTGGTGGGGGGGTGGTAGGGATGTGGAAAAAAAAGTAAAAATCTTTTAATTTGAGTGCTTTTTTATTCTCACCTAAGCTTTTGAATGCAAAAAAATAAAAAAAAATAAAAAACATTTTTTCGATTAAATTTTCCTTCCTTCTTTTCCTTTATTTTTCTAAAAAGAAATATTTGTATTGAATTTGGCTTTTCCCCTCCCCTCCCCTTCCCGCAAATAAATAAACATTCTCAAAATGTTTTTTAAATGAAAAAAAAAATAAAATAAAATAACGGAACGCACACGCGCACCCACACGCAAAATACATTTTACAATTTATCAATCGACATTTTTCGTAATCATTTTTCATTTATTATGAATAATTTTGTTTTTAAAACTGACGCACAACTATACTTTTCATCAATTAGTATTATTATTATCATTATTATTATTATTAATACATCAGTTCAAGTTTAATTTTGAAAATTTTCTCAAAACACTACAAGAAAGTTTTTACTTTCCACCTTTTTTAATTAATCGTGTGATTCTTGTCTGAAGAAAAAAAAAAAAAAATTTCTTTTTAAAAAGGTCACCATCAACCCTCGTAGCGGGAGTGAGGGATGATAATTTAAAATTTATTAAAATAAAAAATTGTACGATCGAAAATTATAAATTACTTTACTAATCACATTTTATACCTTTCGTCTCGTAACTTTTTTAAACAAAAAAAAAATAATCGAAGTCAATTAATTATTATTATTATTATTAAAACAAATATAATTTAAATTTATTTAAATTCAAACAAAATATATATATATATATATATATATATATCGTTAACCGAACTATAACCGACCTCACCGTGTTAGAGAGAGAGAAAAAATTCAAAAATTTATTATTACGAGAGTCGTTATTCTTTTTAATGTTCCACCAAATGACTTATTTTATTATCTTTTTTACCCTCCCCTCCCCTTCCTCATCCCCCACTCATCTCCCACTCCCCCTCCCTCATTTTCTTTTTTATAATTATAACAAATTTTTTTTTTTTTAAATCCAATTAAAATTTTTATAGCCTTGTATTCTGGCCGTAAAACATAAATGCCAAAATATACTCTTGGTTAAAAAAAAAAAAAAAAAAAAAAAAAAATTCTTTAACGATTTTTTTTTTTTTTAATTAATTTATTTTCCTAATAATAAAAGGACATAAATCCATAAATTAAACAAAAAAAAAAGGGGGTATGGAGGATATAAATGGGGAGGCCATTAATTACTTACGAACCCACGTGATATCTATCTACCTTATCGTAATTACATTAACACATATATGTATGTTATCAATAATTTGATTACGTTAAAATATTTCGTATGCGTGCAATAATGACATATAAAACATTTCCGTTCGATGATAATAATAATAATAATTTTTTTTTACATCTTATCACCTTTATCAATCGCCTTCTTTTTTTTTTTTTTTTTCAATCAATCGATTTATATATACCTCATTAACTGCAAAATATTTAAGTAGTAAAAAATTTTTTTTTTTTTTTTTTTTCTCAAAGTTTTCCACTCGAAATATTTTGTCGTCGTGAATTTATTTTATTTCCGAATACAAAAAAAAAAATTTTCTTATACGCCCCCTGCCCTTTCCCTCCCCTTACCCTTCTCTCCTCCCAACTCCTGTTAAACGTATTAGAATTTCCCACCCCCCCCGCCTCAGATACAATTTACTTAAAACGTTTACACGTGCATCATCATTTTTTTTTTTTTTTTAGACTCCATCAACCTTTTTCCACACATTTCATTCATTTTAAATAATTAAATTAAAAAAAAAATTTTTTTTCTTTATTTTCCTTTTTTTCCTTTTTTCCTTTTCCTTTTGTTTCGATAAGGAAACAACTAAAAGTTCGATCGAAAGGTTTTTTTTTTTTTTTTAAACAAAAATTTAATGTTTTATTTCGTCGTCGTCATCGATAACGTCATCGTTTTGTGTTAAATTTAACAAAAAAAAAAAGGGAAAAAAGGAAAATTAATATTCCTAATGTTTAAATAATTTTTAACTTGAATAAAAAAAAATCTATAAAAAAAATTCGTGCATTGAAATTTTAATTCATTTCTTTACATTAAATAATAATAATAATAAGATTACTATTATTACAACCGTGAAAAAAAAAATTTAAATTTTCCCTCCCCCTTCCTCCCCTCCCCCATTTTTTTCATTAAAAATTTAATCTTTGAAAACATTTAAACGTATTCTTTATTCGACATCATCATCATCGCCATAGCTATTATTATTATTATTATTTCTTTTTTTTAAATAATCTACCATTTAAATAAATTAATTTTTTTTAATCGTGAATCCATTTTGATCCTTTATATATTATTATTATTATTTTTAAAAAATAATTTTTTATTTTTCCAATAAAAAAAAAAAACACTAAAACCAGATTTCCCACACGTTCGCACCCGCGTTCGATACGTTAAAACCGTTATTTTTTTTACAACCCTTTGAAATTTTGCCAGATTCCTGGACAATCATTATTATTATTATTATTATTAAAGTCTATCTATCGATAGAATCCATTATTTACTATTTAACCTCAATTTTATTAAAAAATATTTACTAATCGAGTGACGACAAAAAAATTAAATACTCACATATGACGTTAAACGTTAACGTGTCATCGATGGCGGAACCGGAAATGAAAGGATTGTCTGCAATGCACTTTAAATGATGTCCGTCATCTTCTGGGGAAGGAATAAATATAAGCGTGCTCACGACGGCCGTGTCATTAGACGTCGACGTTACCTAAAAAAAAAAAAAAACAACAATAATAATAATTATTAATTATTATTAATAAATATAAATAAATAAAATATTTAAAATAATTTATTTCAATTTTAAATGACGACGTAATCAAATCGAAAATGAAAAAAAATACGTTGAATAATTAATTATTTATTATAATTCATAACCGTCTCTCTCTCTCTCTCTTTCTCGAAAAAAATTAATTAATTAATTATAAATTTATCGTTTTTAATATAAATTTTTTTTTTTTAAACAAGATAACGTTTAATTTTTCTTTTTCTTTTTTTTTTTTTTTAAACTAAAAAAAGGAGGGAAATTTTAGAAAGCAATTTAAAAAAAAAAAAGGAAAAAAAGCAGAAAAAAGGAAAAAAAGGAAAAAAAAAAAAACGATGTCAGACGTTCGGAGGTAAAAAAAAAAAAAAAAAATTTAAAAAGGTAAGCCTAATTAAAATGCAAATATTCATGTTGAAAGCAAGCGGTGGAAGGTTTGCCATTTTAAGAATAGAGAGAGAGAAAGAGAGAGAGAGAGAGAAACTCAGAGAGAGAAAGATAGAGAGAGAGGAGAGAGGTTAAAGGCTGTTGGAAAAGGTTAAACGCTTTTCCTTAAAAGAATGTTTAATATTATTTTCGGTATGCGATTTAATTACTTTTTTTTTTCTCTTTCTCTCTTTCTCTTTCTCTCTTTCTCTCTCTCTCTCTCTCTCTCTCTTTGTCACTCAGCATCTATTCCGTTTTATAATTCCATAATACAACTCTTTCCTTTTCTTTTTCTATAAGATATTTTTTTTTTTTTGCTTGGGTTTTCATAATTATCACGATACCATTAAATTAAACAACTCTCTCTCTCTTTCTTTTTTTTTTAATTTAAAAAAATTGTTTTAATGTCGTATAGTTTAATAATAATAATAACAAAACAATACAATAGCATCACCTTTTTTTTTTTTAATTTAGATTTTTTCCTTCCTTTTTAGAAAATTTTAGTTTTTTTAGTTTTTGATAGTTGTTAAAATTGTTTAGTAAATTAAATGTTTCAAATTTTTTTTTTGTTTTTTTTTGTTTACATGTTTCAATTTATGTAATGTGAGTCGCAGTTGGAATAGCCATTAAGTGAAAAATAAAACAACCGAAAAGAAAAGAAAAGAAAAGAAAAGGAAAAACCTTGAATAAGAAGTCTAAACGCGGAGTTTGTATATAGCGTAGCAATAAAAGTTTCTTTTGAAAATAATCTGTCTAAAAAAAAAAAAATAAAAAGATAGATCTATTATCTAAATAATTTATTGGTAACGAAAAAAAAAAAAACCTTTTAGAAAACCCAACAACAACCAACAACCACCGTTAACCATCGCCATGTTTTATTTTATATATAGAATTTTCTTTAACTAAGCAACAAATTCTTATATATAAATATAGAATCGATGTGGAAAAGCAAATCGTATTTAAAAATGATATTTTCGTAACATGCACACACACAAAAAAAATTTTTACGAGGGAAGAAGGAGAGGGAAGGGAGACATAAATTGGAAATCACGTGGGAATTTTTTTTTTTTTTCTACTCGATTCATTAAATGATAAAAACAAAACATGACAATTATTGTGAGATTTTAAAATGATATTATTCATCAACCTTTTTCTACCTCTACCTCTACCTCTACCTTTTTTTTTTTTTGAAAAATTTAGTTCGAGTCAAGTTTTAAGATGAGTGAAAATCGAAAAATCAAAAATGTTTATGCAAGCAATTAAGTCATTCAACAAAAAAGACAATGCGCGTGACTTAGTTAAATATGAAAGAACCCTCGTTCGAAAATTTTTCTTTTTTTCTTTTTTTCTTTCTCCCTACCAACCCCCCGACTCGTCCCGACCCCCTCCCCAATGCAAACTGTCAGAGATTTTCCTTAGGAAAAATAAAAAAATTAAGTGATTACCATTCGAAAAATGCCATTTTTTTTTTCTTGACATTTTATTTCTTATTTGAAAAACACGCAAAAATTCAAATTAAAATAATTTTTTTTTTAATCTCTTTCTCGAGGAGGAGGAGGAGGAGGGGTAGGGGTTAGGGGATAACGTTAGGTTGATTTTTTTTTTTAAATAAATGTACTCACTCTTCCTTTTCTAAATCTTCTATTTTCTCGCCACCATGTTATTTCAGCTTGAGGTCTCGATCCAACGGATTCGCACGAAATGGCATATTCAGTGTCTGCAGACAGTAGTTTGGGTTTATTTAATATATTTACTCTCAAAGGCTTCACTGTAAAAATAGAAAAAAAAAATTACTTTAAATGATTTAAACGATTCGAAAAAAATTGTAAATTGTAAATTAATTGTACAAAAAAAAAAAAATGTCAATTACTTACAATTCAGTTCCAACCTTGTAGTTTTTTCCAAAGGTAATGTCAATTTCGAATTGCTTGCCTGGCACTTGAACGTGGCATTAAACATTTCCCTCGTCACTCTCGATACTTCTAAACGATTAATTATAATGCCATCCGCGTTCCTTTCTATAAAACCGGGAGTCAACTTATCGTTTGCTAACCAAGACACTGTTGGAGGCGGTTTTCCTGTTAACGATCCCCCCCAAAAAAAAAAAAAAATTTAATATTTTTTATATTCAATCGTTTTCTATTCATTATTACAAATTAAATATATAATATAAAGAAATTCATCATTAAAAAAAATATTTATATATATATATGTATGTATGTATATTTCTTCTCGAGTGCGGTATTATTATTATTATTATTATTATTACATTTAGTTAGTTGTGTTGGTAGGGGGATGAAAAAAAAAATATATATTCAACTTATTTTTCATGCAAACAAAATTCTCTAATGAGCAATTTTCTCCTTTAAAAAATTTTTCAGTCATTCATTCATTCCCTCATTCATTCATTCAATCATTCAAAAAAAAAAACGAAGC